TTGTAAATATAATTATGCTTGAGCACTATTACGATCACTTGCTAATCACATTGAGATTGACGCTTGAGAGCGACCTATATCTGCCAAAAAAAAAAACACAAAAGAGAACACATATACACATAAATGAAGCTCCAACAAAATTTCTAAAAACCAATCATATTTCGTTCGATAATATAGCAGATTTTCATTACTTGTCACAATAATTTGCAAAATTGCCTATTATGAAATAACAAGAAGTAGATGTCTTTCTTAAATTGAATTAAAGTTTCATTGAGTACTGTATGGTAATGATACGTACACCAGGAGACAGAGTCATAAGTCCGGATACGTATGACCGATTATTATACGAATTTTACAAAACAAATTTGTGCTACGATCTCCATTTGACATCAAAAGTATCACAAAGTTAAAAATTTATACTTTTTGATTTGCGAAACTGCATGAATTTAAAATTACAGTTAAATTTCAAGTGGTGGTAGGTGGAACTGAGATACAGTATGAATTCATAGGGGGGGGTGTGCATTTATAAGATGTGCATTCAAGGAAATAATTCATGGAAATCCTACTTTGATATAATATAAAAATTAGAAATTGTACAAAGAGTTAACGTTACCAACAACTATTTAAGTTAGAAATATGATTTCATTGTTGGATTACCAACTTTCGTAAGAAACTCTTTGTAAGCATATAGAAAGCAATTTCATAGACTTATGAAATTTTGATTGGTCAGTGAAACTCATTAGGGTGGTAAATGAATAATATTATAAAGAACATATTCGTATTTAGATAACGATAATGTTGTAACATAGAAATAAAAATAAACAAAACAAACATTACATTGACAGTTCTGACGAAACAATAATTTTAATAAGAAAAAAAAATAATAACACAAAATTTTTATCGCATCTTTTTATATTTTACTTTTTTGGAAAATTAAAAAATTTCCGCATTTATCATTAAAAAAAAATCCGAAATTTAATTAGAAGTTTTTTTTTACTATAAATACCTTGAACATGCTAGCATTGCCGTTCAAAAAGTTTAGTCTCTAGACCTTTTTTTTAAATAATAATAATAATAATAATAATAATAATAATGTCAATGTTCAACTTATTCACCAAGCTATTTGCTATCCTTCTCATTAGTAGCACTGTTTTTATAGCTGCTGATGTAGTTAAAGGAAAATGGTTCGATCGAATTGTTTTAATTATGTTCGAAAATACGAATCAATCCGTAGTTATTGCGGATCCATACTTCAAAGAAATCACGACGAGGCCACAAGGTGTCTTTTTTTCTGAGTTCTATGCCGTAGAACATCCTAGTGAGGTAGGCTTTTTAGCTTCACTTATAATGTATCCTATATAATTTAATTAATTACTTCCTTTTTCTGTATCTAGCCTAACTATGTTGCACAAATTGCTGGCTCAACTTTCGGTATTTTGGATGACGAAAATTATGACGTTAATGCTACAACTCTGGTGGACCTCCTTGAAAGTAAAAATGTTTCATGGAAGGGCTATATGGAAGACTTTCGTAAGTCTTAGTTTAAATTTTTAAAAATACTGATATATAATATTGCACATATACGTTTACACATATTTTTTTCACTAAACTAAAAATTTTATTAATTTAAAAAACTTTAGCCGAAAATTGTTTCTTGGGTGCAAATACCAGTCTATATGCTAGAAAACATAACCCTTTTTTCTCTTTCACGACAATTACCAACAACCCTACCCGTTGTGCAAAGGTAGTTAATGGTAGTCGACTTGATGATGATATTGCGAATAATCAAGTACCACAAGTGGTATATTATACTCCCAATCTAATTGATGATGCTCATAACACGAACGTCACTTTTGCGTCATCATGGTTTAAGAGCTGGTTCGAACCTAAACTCAAAAATCCTTCATTTACCAACAACACGTTATTCTTCATAACTTTTGACGAATCTGATAATAACAATGATACTATTAATCATATTTATTCAGCTATTTATGGCTCACCTGTCCAAAATAATAGTGATCATAATGATACAACTAAATATAATCATTATTCATTTTTACGCACTGTTGAGGACAATTGGAACCTCGGTTCTCTAGGTCGCAATGATACAAATGCAACTGCCTTTACCAAATATTTGGTACAGGCGCCTACAACAACAGGCTATGCAATCAAAAACACCATAAATTTACACAACCTTTGGATACCATTTGTTTTATTATATATTATCACAAAAAATTTATAATTTTTTAGAATTTGGTACAATAAACTACTTTTTTATATTTACATGTATAATTGCCAGATGAATCTAGAGATTATAGATACTTTTATGGGGAAATTACACATCGGAACCAAATTTCAAAATAATTATGGACTTAAAAATATTTATTTATAAGGGCCCAATTTTTTGAAAATATTACAAATACGGGCCCTAATGTAATTACAGGATC